CCCCAAAACCCCAAAACCCCAAAACCCCAAAACCCCAAAAGTTTTAAGGGATGTTGTAATAATTATTTCAAATTTATTGTTTTAAGATGGGTAACTGTACCACTACAAGACCTATAAAGCCTCATTTGGGAGATCTTGATGAAGGCCTCTTCCTGGATTCGAGGTCTGAAAACCCTATGGAGAATTTTGATGGGCAACTGGTAGGTTTTGGATTTGGGGTTTTGTGATTAGGAGGATTTTGAGATTTTGTAGTTTTGTTGTTGAAGAACTAATTTGTTGGTGTATTATTGGACTTACAGTGTACAATTTTGTACGGTGTTTTAGTGGGCAAATCTTCTGATTAAAAATAATATAGAGTGATTTATACTTATCAAATCTGGCCTCTCCAAAGAGTGATATAGGTAAGACAATGCACCTTTACTAATAACCTTACTAATATAAATAATAGAGACCAGACAAGATATAGAGAAGCACCTGAAGTCACTTAATAAAGAAGAACTAGTCAGTTATATCATGAAAATGAAAGAAAGGGAAAGCCAGGCTAGTCCTAGGTATGTCTTATCTTCTTGTCTAAAGCCTTAACCTCTTCTTATAGGGGCGAGGTTGCCTCACATCATAATTCTGATTACTACCAAATAAGCAGTCCCCCTATTCAGCACATCCGAGGTGGGGTAAGATCGGAAGTCAATTCACAGGATTCAGAAGGGAGGAAATATAAAAATATCTTTACTAAAATCAAAGAGTACGTATTGGGTGCTAATTTTAGACTTAAACAGGCAAAAATGGTAAAAAGAGGTACTGAGACTTCTGCCAAAAAGAGTGAAGAACGTAAACTCCACTTTAAAACAACAAGGACAAATTTCTTCAGGAGGAATACTGAAGTGACTCATAAATAAATCTGAAAGAAAACCAATACTGCAGAAGAAGACGAAGAAGAATGGTACTCCAAGGTTTGGGAAGGTTAAGAAAAGCATGGTCAAGAAGCTACCGAAGAACTTATTTAGAAGGCAGCCAAGAATTCCAAAGCAGATCAAGCAGGTGAAGACTCGTGAGTTTAATCATAAGGAAATTCGAAAGGGTGAAAAGCAAGAGTTAATCGTCCCATCAGAGCCATCACTGAGCCAACAAAAGAACTCCTCTTTGCTGACATTCGGGGATGAAGAAGAGTGGAAGCCAACCAGTAAGGAGACGTTTCATGAGTAAGTACATAATTTATTAGGAATCATTAGCAATTTCTTCTGTTTTAAATGATTTATTGTAGAGCAGTTGATGGGCAAGCTCAAGTCTCGAAAGAGCAATCTCCTCTTCATAACTAAAGTTTTGGGATTTCTCATAATTGATAGAAAGACTTGCATCAGAATTTTAAGTAGACTTATTTTATAAATTATAAAAATAGTACAGTTTCATTACCTTTAGAAATTTGTGGGGTTTTGGGGTTTTGGGGTTTTGGGGTTTTGGGG